GTGGGGCTTGGGGGTGGGGGGGAGGGCCAAGCGCGCTTTCATCCACAGGCCGCCCCCGCCCCCAGGCCCTCCCCAAACACCCGGAGCTGAACTTCGCAGAGCTTTTGGGCACCCCGCAGCTGTGGGCACCCAAGAAGGCCTTTGATGTTCCTTTTTCCGTCTCCTTTCCCCCTTTCTTGCCGTCTCGGGTAATTTACGGATCGTAGAAGCCACTCATTGTCAGTGAACATGCAGTGACTTTTCACAAAGTTACAGAGTCCTACAATCATCACCACAGCCCAGTCTTGGATCATTGCCTCCGTCCCCGAAGTTTCCCTCTTGCCAGCCTGCGGTCAGCTTCCTGCCCCACCTCCCGCTGGGGCGATCTTGTCTCTCCAGATTTGCTTCTTCTGGAAATTTCATACGAATGGAATCATCCAATTCATCTCCTGTCTGAAATGCTTTTCGGTTGGACACGTGCGTCCGGTGCAACGCAGCAATATTGACTGCTAAAACCAGAAAATAGATTTGGGAATTTATGCAGGGGCAGTAAACACACACACAAAAAATTCAAAATAAATTTGTGATGGGCCTGGATGGTATGTGGGGATCTCTTTATCGACTTCTATTTATGTATGTATGTACGTATTTATTTACAAATTGGTTAAAGACATTTATTTCAAAGAATTTTTTTTTGTTTTATTTTTGAGAGACAGAGTGAGCGCAGGTGGGGGAAGGGCAGAGAGAGCAGGAGACAGGATCCAAAGCGGGCTCCGTGCTGACAGCAGAGAGCCTGCTGTCGGGCTTGAACCCTTGAACCATGAGATCATGACCTGAGCTGTAGTCAGACACGAAAGCGACTGAACCACCAAGGCGCCCTGACTGACTTTGAACTGTATCTATCCATCTCTGTAGAATTTGGGTCGCCATATTTTCCAATTTTTAAAAAAATTGAGAAGAAAAATAAAAACATCAGGATAGAGAGCCATGCCTCTATATATGTCTTATCCACAAGAAAGCATGAGATAAAAGCTTGTTTTGTTCTTTCCTTTAGACCAGTGGCCAGCAAATTACAGCCTGTTGCCCAAATCAGGCCCGTGAGCCAAGAATGCTTTTATGTTTTGGGGGGCACCTGGCTGGCGGTAGAGCATGTGACTCTTGATTGTGGGATTGTGAGTTCAAGCCCCGTGTTGGGTGGAGAGATTACTTAAATAAAAACAAAACTTAAATTGGAAACAAAAAATAATCAAAAGACTATTTTGTGATATGGGAAAAGTATGTGAAATTCAAAGTTTGTGTCCAGAAATGACACAGCCGCATCCATTTGTTATGTACGGTCTACGGCTGCTTTATGAGACAATGGAAGAGCTGGGCAGTGGAGACAGGGACAACCTGGCCCACAGAGCCTAAGATGTTTCCTCTTTGGCTCTCCATGGAAAAAATTTGCTGACCCGATAGAGACCCAGAGTCTTCCACAGTCCTTGGCCTCAAGGAGATGCTCAGGAAAATATCTGTGATGAACAGCACAGTCTCAAAGGCCAGAATAACTTTAAGGTTTGAAGGTTTTCTTTCAGTCAGTTAATAAGCTTGATAATTTCATAAGTTACTGTGGTAGACAGAAAATGGCCCCCAAAGATGTGTATGTGCTAATATCCAGAGCCTGTGCATATGTTATCCTATATAGCAAAAGGGAATTAAGGTCACAGATGGAATTCAGAGTTGCTAATAAGTTGATCTGAGATGGGAGATGATTCTGGGCTATCTGGATGGGCCCAATGTAGTCACAGGTGTCCCTATAAATGAAAGAGGAAGGACTCTTAGAATCATGAGTCAGAGGGATGTGATGTGAGAATTCAACCCCTGTTGCTGGTTTAGATGGAGAAGGGGCCATCAACGAAGGAATGTGGGTGGCCTCTAAAAGCTGGAGAAGGCAAGAACATAAACTTTCCCCTAGAGCTTCCAGAAAATATAGTCCTGCGGACATGTTGATTTTCACCCAGCGAGACCCATTCTGGACTTCTGACTGCCAGCAATGTAACATGAGAGATTTGGGTTGTCTAAAGTCCCTATATTTGTGATAATTTGTTGTAACAACAACAGGAAACTAATACATGTGTGAAAGCCTGAACTTGACCATGAAAACACCCACTGCCTTGAAACTCAAAGGAAGCTGTTTAACATCAGCAAGTTTCCTTAACTTCTGTGCTTCAGTTTCCTCAGTTATAAGAAGGAGATAAGCATTTATTTGTGGAGTGGTGGTGAGTGATAAATGGAGTGATATATGTAAAGTCTTCCACATAGTAAGGGGCTTTCCCTTAATATATGAATGAACAAAAATAAAGTGTTAGTAGAAAAGATGGTTAAAACATACAGGAAGCAAAAAACTCACCTGTAATAAAGAAAATGCCCAAACTCCTATGCATCTAATAACATTGTCTACAAATACATTAAGCAAGAATTGACAAAGCTGTAAGACTTCCATCAGGGCACCTGGGAGGCTCAGCTGGTTAAGTGTCTGGCTTTGGCTCAGGTCATGATCTCGAGGTCCATGAGTTTGAGCCCTGCATCGGGCTCTGTGCTGACAGCTAGGAGCCTGAAGCCTGCTTCGGATTCTGTGTCTCCCTTTCTCTGTGCCCCTCCCACACTCATGCTCACTGTCTCTCTCTCTCCCCAAAATTAAATGAACATTTTAAAAAACTTTAAAAGACTTTGAGAATACACTTCTCTAATGAGGTATTGTATTACAAGCTTACTCAGTAACAGATCAAGAATCAAAAATTTTGTTAGTAAGAGAATGTGAAACAGTCGAGAATCTTGACCATTCAGACAGGTACTGAACCCTGATCCCACCCAACACCAAAGAAATTCCGTGTTTAAAAAAATCTCCCTTAAAATGCTCCTTAATCAAATCAGGGGCTTGCTTCATCTACTTAGTCTAGCCACACAGTCTGTTGCAGCCACAGACACCCAAAAACATGTCCAGGGGAGTGAGGACTCTTGTGTTTTGAAGGTTGTGTTATTGGGACCATGACCTTCATTTCAATGATCCTAAAGTTGCTTGTGCTAATTCAGGGAATTTCACCCAGTCTCCAGAGAGCAGCTAGGAAAGAGAGCAACAGGAACTTAGTTAAGACAAAATGACACTCTCGTCTTTCGTACAGCTTTCTAGGAATCCAAGCCAGTGAATTCTGTCAGGGTTGCAAGATCTACCCACTATCTGTTATGAGAAAATGTAGAAAATGCATTTACAAACCTTCAACGGGGCTAACTCTGCAAAAACAAGTCTATGGACCCTTATACTTACTAAAGAGGATGAGAAGAATGCACGTGGCCAGGCAGTTGATGGAAGTCAGCCCCATGGGACTGAAATGAACATCAGAACACGTGTCCCACAGCAGCATCATAAAGACCACATACTCGGACCATAATGCAGTCAAATCATGACCAATAACAACCAACTGACAAAAAAAAAAATGTTATCCCAGAGCACACCAAACCCCAACTTGAATTAAAGGAGGCTCAGGGGCGCCTGGGTGCTTCAGTTGGTTAAGTGTCCGGCTTTGGCTCAGGTCATGGTCTTGAGGTCCATGAGTTTGAGCCCCGCGTCAGGCTCTGTGCTGACAGCTCGGAGCCTGGAGCCTGCTTGGGATTCTCTGTCTCCCTCTCTCTCTCTCTCTTAGAAATAAGTATTAAAAAAAAATCAAAAGATAAATGAGGCTCAAACAGGGCCTCGTGTTGGTGAGAACACCCATGTGTAAATACTAATAAAGCTACTACATATTGAAAATTCAGAGCTGAAAAGGCACAGAGAGTATATTCATCATCTCGGAGGATTTTATTAGAGAACCAAAACTGGAAAGCAATGAATTTTGGTCCCAGATGAAGGATGAGGCAAGGCAGTGGCAGCAATCCTAGCATTTACTGTGTTTCTCTCCTACTATGTATTCATCTGTGCCTTGGGAGCGGGGAGACTTTCCTGGATCTATTGCAATCTGAGAATCATCTCCAGGATGTAGTCTCTTGGGTAACTTAAGGGACGAATGTTTAAAGAGGTGTTTCTCATGTTCCTTACTCCCACGACGAGTCTCCAAAGTGTGAATTCGTGCAAGGATTACATTGAGACAACCTTGAAGGTTTTTCCAGATTCCTTAGATTCATAGGGCGTGTCTCCAGTGCAAGGGGAAACGTCTAGCAAAGATGAAAAAAGATGACAAACTTTCCAGAGACCTTACCTACATAGGGTGTGAATATGTCAGGGTGTTGGGTTCTCACATTTCTGTCGTTCAGGGAAGACTCGAGCTCCCTCCCAAAACGTCCTCATGTGCTCATTATTTCGAGAAAACTAATGAAACTTCTCCCACGTTCCTTTCATTCGCAGGACCCCTCTCAACTGTGAGTTTCGTTTTGTATTTTTTTTCAAGTTTATTTATTTAGGCAATCTCCACAGCCCACGTGGAGCTTGAAAGCGTGACTTTGAGATCGCGCTCTTCTGAATGGGCTAGCCAAGTGCCCGTCAACTGTGAGTTTTTAGGTGGTTTTTAAATCTGTGAGAACTGATGAAGGCTTTCCCACATTCCTCGCATTTATAGGGTTTTTCTACGATATGAACCCTTCTATGTTCGGTAAGCTTTGAGAACTCATTGAAGGTCTCCCCACATCGCCCACATTTATAGGGCTTCTTGATAATGTGCTTTTGCAAGTGTTTGTTAAGGTGTAAGGAATATTTAAAGGCTTTCCCACATGTCTGGCATTCGTAGGGTTTTTCTCCGGTGTGAATTTCCATGTGTCTCACGAGGGACGACTGATACAGGTAAGATTTCCTACATTCTTGACATTTGTATTTCCCCCCTCCGGGCTTAGTCTCCTTGCGTGAGTCAGAATTTGCAGGGTGGGCAAAGGATTTCTCATCTTGCTTAGTCTCATGATTTGCCTCTGCCATACAGGATTGCCTCTGTGCCTCATGGATCGAGCTATCTCGGAAGGTGATTCCACACGGATCGGACGCGTAGGTTTTCTCTGTAACGTGAGACCTGCATACGTTGAGGCAGACGTCTTCACCAAAGGCTTTTCCAAATGGATCCCATTCATGAACGTCCGTCCCCATGCGAATGTTATTATGGCTGTGAAGCACATTGTTGTAATCGTGAGGCCACACGTTTGACTCCGGCCCCGTCTGACTCCTCACAAATGGGATCAAGACAATGCTTTGCCATAAGAGTCTGTCATATCCGTAGTTTTTATAGATCTTTTGATTACTGGTTAGGACAGGATTTTGTTTCAGGATATCTGAGCCCCAGTTTGGGATACGGTTTCTTGCGGCATCTCTCTGGGAAGGCACAAGCTTGGAGCCTGGTTTAGGATCGTCTTTCGTTTCGCGATATTCACAGATTCTGACCGGAGACTCGCCCTTCCTGTGAATGCCCGCAGCTTGCTGCCACTTTCGGTCCCTTTGCTTGGGCGGCTCCCCCATCTCGTGGCATTTCCAGTCTTTTCCCCGCGGGGAGGGCCGGGAACTGCGGCTCACGGCACACACTCTGTTCGCTCCCCGAGGGGTCTTCTCGGCGAGAATGTCCTGCCGGGGGGTTGAGTTTTGGGTCTTACGTTGATTCAGCGAGTCTGAAATAAAGTGCACAAAAGTCAAGTTCTTTGTTGAGAGCTAAGGTGGGTTGGGGATGGGTTGGGGAGGATAAGACAGGGAAGTGCCCAGGTGGGTTTCTTGTCGAACGGTCACTCTGCACGAGAGGGAAGGAAGAGTGAGCAAGAGAGCGGAAAGACATCAGGGATTTGGGCCGTGCCGGGAGCTCGACTGCAGTGAGGACGGGTGCTGTGTGGACGGGACCTGCTACGAAACGCTTGTTCAGGGATCGAGGAAAGGAGTCGTCAGGAAGGTGTAGCCTCATGGAAGAGAACCGGACAAAGAGTCTGCCACGGACTGTTTTTGTGTCGCCCAGAAATCCATTACGTTGAAGCCCTCATCCCCCATGTGATGAGGGGATTTGCAGGTGGGGCCTCTGGGAGGTAATCAGGTCTAGATGAGAATGTGACGGTGGGGCCCCCACGATGGGACTGGTGTCCTTACAAAAGCAGAACGGAGCTCGCTGTCTCTCTAGCACGTGAGGACACAGCAGGAAGGCGGCCGTCTGCAAACCAGGAAGAGAGGCCTGGCTGGGAACCAAACCCACTGGCACCTTGACCTTGGACTTCTCAGTGAAGAGACAAATGTGTGAAAGCCACCTGGAACATGGTATGGTGTCCGCCCGGACGGACTAAGTCAGAGTCCGTGTGTGACTTTAAAGGGGCACAGGTCTTTGGGACAAAAAGAAAGAATAAAAGCCTGGACGATTCTGATGCGTCTTAGAGTCTTTGCTTGCCTCCCAGATGAAATGGATTCTTTCTTTTTTTTTTTTAATTTTTTTTAATGTTTATTTATTT